TTTTTGTCCTTTCCCACAGACTTGAAAGTTGACCAGAGAGGCTTATGCTAAGCCAGCCCACACCCACAAGTCAGGGGCCCAGACACAGGCCCTCAACAACAGTCACCACACCTCCAAGTCCAAGGAAAATTCTTTCCCCTGGGGTAGCCTTGCCCCCAAGGGCTCCTCTCTGAAATGTAGCATGTCCAGGAGCTGGTAGAAGGAAGCATTTGTCAGGGGTAGCAATCAAGAAAGCACTAAGCATGGGATTGGGGGGAGGTAGGAGAATGACACAGAAGATGGGGGTGGGGAGAGGAGAGACCCTAAAGATGGAGTAGGACACTGAACCCTACCCAGGCTGACTTGTCCACAGCCCAGGAAGCAGCAGCCGTTTGTCTTGCACGGCCTTAGCCCCGAGACTCGAGGGGAGGATATGCTGTGTGCCAGCTCCAACAGCCACCACCTCTAAGTGGTGACTCAGTTTCCTCATCTGGAAAAGGAAGGCACTGACAGGACCCACCTCAAACACTGGAGGGTGAGGACTGAGGGCAGGAACAGGTGCAGGCGCCCAGAACAGTGCCGGGCACACAGTCAGCCTTTATAGCACTTGGCTGTGGCCATCACCTGCCGAGATCCCAGCCAGGTCCTGCCCTTCCACAGAAGCACCTCTGACCTCCACGCTGAGCCCCTGGTGCACTCGCCATCTGTGTGGCGCAATTTATTGCCTGATTATACACCATCTTGAAACAACTATAAACAACTGACTACAGCCTAATAAGTGCTACACTGAAGCGCAGCTCTGAAACATCACTGCCCCAAGGCCCACACTGCACAGTACCTGCTAGACACACATGCAGATCGCACCCGGAGTGCAGGGCTCCGGCCCAGGCCCTGGACACGCACCCAGCTCCCTCTTCAGTGGGGCAGAGTCTCCTCTGTCATCAGTTGGGGGCTGGCTCTTTTCTCCCATGGCCAGTGCTACCCTCCCACTTGGGAAGTCCCCTTCAGCCCACCCTGGAAGGCCGGCAATGCAGGGTCAGTGCTGTCCCAGGCACGGGCAACTTGGATGGGCAGCAGCCTGAGCCAGCTCTGCTCTGGACCTCAGAGAGAGTGCTCTGTGCACTGCCTCTTGCCATCGCACCACAGCCCAGGAGGGCTGAGGCTGTACAGAATCTGGGAGAGGGGCCAATGAGACTGACCAGCCAGGCCATCTGTGGGTTGTATCTGGAGCAGGAGGGTCTGGAGGGCCCCGGCGATGCTTGCACAGATGGTCCAGGCCAGTTCTCGGGATCTGGGGAATGCCTGAGCAAACACGGAGAAATTCATGTGCACTTGCTGGAGAGCTGACTGTGTGTGAAATGATAGAAACAACCCTCCGTGCAGACACTTCTTACAGAATGTGCAGTTAAGGGGGCTATCCAGGAAGGCTTCAAGGAGGAGGTGGAGTGTGAGGTGGATATCGACCGGACGATAAGCACTTGATGTGGAGCAGGGTCCAGGCAGCAGAAGCTGAGTGAAGCCCTTTGTGCTGTGACTATGGGCCTGACTCAGGGTCAGTACCTGGGAGGACTCCTGGCCCAGCCGCCCTCAGCCCCTCTGACTCGGTCCTCTCCCCGGGACAGGCTCAGACAGTGGGTGCAACACTGCCCACCTTGCAGGACTATGACTGCTAAGGGTGCTACTGCCTCTCCCAGCCCTCTGGGCCCACCCTGGGAAGGCGGGCAAGGGGCCCCAGCCAGAGGGCTCGAGGCACTGAGCTGGCCCTAGAGGACATGGGCCCTCCCCACCAGCTCATCTGCAGTGATGCTCTGTGGGCGGCATTTGGGAAGGCTTCTCAGCTATCGCAGGAGTGTACACTCTGCCTTCACTACCTTCTCTCTCCTTCTGAGCCGGCCCCCTCCCCCTCCTGCAGGCTCCCTTTCCCACCCAGCTGCCCAGATTGCTCCGATGGTCCTACTCCCTGCTCTTCTCAAGAGAATGTTCTCCCATCATTCCGAACTGGGAAGGAGTTTATGATTCAAAGCGCTTCCCCTCTGGGGATTAATTTTCAAAGACAGTGACAGAGACAGGTTTATTCAAAGGAATACATCACTAAGGGAGAATTTGGGAACCCTGAAATATAAGTTTGCTTTTTTTTTTTTTTTTTTTTTTAACCAACAGCCCTTACTCTGTGCCTGCTTAATTCATTATTTTATTCCAGTAACATGCACTGGGCTCCTTCTGCATGCAAGGTACCAGTCTGGGTGCTGAGGGCTCAAAGGTGAAGGAGCGCCATCACTGTGTAGTGTGGGAGATAGAGACACAACATAGCCCAGACCTGAGAAGAACTGTCCTCAAAGACCTTCCCGCTCACATTCAAGGCACCCACTTGAATAGCAGCATTTGCTGATTCAAACAGCTTCCTATCTGCTCACTACAACAGTTCCCCCAAGGACTCTCACGGACGCTTCTAGACTCATGCTTGAAATTAATAAAGCCGTATGTCGATGTGTATTTTATAACGCACACACTTTCTAACTCGGCCTGGACTTCCCCCAGCTCATGTCCAAGGGGAGGACCTGACCGCAACCGTTCTGAGCACTGTCTGGTCTGGATTTTCTTTGTGGTCTTATTTGGAGTTTTCCAGACCAATCGTTTGGACCTGCTCCTTCTCCCATGGCTCCTGTTTGAATATACAGTTTATGAGTCATTTGCTTTTTCTGCCTCTCTTGATCCTCTGGTTATATATGGTAACTCCTGACTTCCCCTCCAACCATGTTAATAATAAATAACACACTTTACCACACCATGACACACCACGACACACCACACAACTATAGAGAGCAAAATATGGCCTGTGCTGAATTATTCAGTGGCTGAATAATACCACAAAGAACATCACATAATCCGGGCGTGGAGAGCTGCTCACCGCCATGATGTTTTTTCCACAGCGACAGGAGACCCCCCCCCCACCCAGCCCTGCAAATCTGTTGCCAGGAGCAGTCCTACCCATTATGAAGACGGCAGACGCTACTCCTAAACCAAGGTAAAAGAAAGAAAGAGAGAGGAAGAAGGAAAGGAAGGAAGGAAGGAAGGAAGGAGAAAAGAAAGGAAGGAAGGTAGGTAGGAAGGTAGATCTCCAACATATGGTTCAGTTCTAATGACATTAACCATTCTTTCCCACACCTGCGAACTATGCACATTACGGTTTCTCACATGTGTGATAGTACTTTGGGGGTCAACCTGAAATGGCGATCTGACATTGGAATTGTCCCAGAAGAAGTTGGGCTGTGTGCTCATCACATTTGTTCCATGATGAAAGGGGGTCTGGGTCAAATGGCTGCTCCCCAGGAGGAAATGAGCTCAGCTGGTGAGCACGCTGGAGAAAGGGCGGCTTAGTTCTAAAACCAAATGGTTAGAAGTTAGTGGTGGCTCTGACTCGGGGGGATCCTGGGTGACAGGGAATGGGGCGGGGGGGGGTGTCTGTCCAGGGTCACTGGGAGGGGGGAGAAAGTAAAAGGGAAGGGACGGGAAGAAGGGAGTAGTGAAGAAAGGAGGTGGGAGGGAAGCAGGAATTAGGGAGCAAGAAAGGGCGGCAGGAAGAAAGAGGGGAGAAGAGGTCAAGGGAAAGGTAGAGAAATCAGCAACACAAGGCAGAGAGAGAAGGAGAGGGAAAGTCTGCTGCAACAGGAAAGGGGGCAAGTAGAGCTCTTGCAGGGCGCTCCCCGCAGAGACAGCTCCCAGGGGCCTGTCCCATCTTGCTCAGGGGATTAGCATCTTAGCCAAACTCCTCGGGCAGTTCTTCAGAGAGTCCGTCCCAGGAAGGCAGACACCTGTGGGCTTACCTAGAACACCCCCCAACTGGGCGGGCTAATCACACAGCAGAAAGGCCAACACTTAGGTGCAACACTTAGGAAGGGACAACTCTGGACACCCCGCTCTTCCCGGGTGACATCCCAGGGGCCGAGCGGCTGGCTGGGGCTCCACCACACACATATATGGAAAGAACTGGCCAGGATAAGACCCGGGTTCCCGAGACTGGCCCACACCCTAAGGCCTGTCTGTGAACACTGCCCCCGCTGACATTCTTCTGACATTGGAACCACATCCTTAGTTTTTCAAGCACCGAACAGAATCATACCCATGGGAGGGGTCCCTGAAAAACACATTACTTCTCTTCTGTGTGTTCTGTGGGGTCAGTTTAATGTTTCAGTGTCAGAATTAACAGCAACAAAAACTCAGGCCACTTTCCCAGGGAAACAGACCTCAGAGTCAGTGCATCCTGAGAAATGCAAAAATTAAGGGCCCGAACAACTTAATTGGCCCCTGGAAACCCTTAGGGGGCAAGTTCCAGCCACACCCAGAGAAAGCATTCTGCCTTGCCTGAAAGACTTACCCCCGCTGCCCTCCCCGCCTTGATTGTCCTCCAGTGGAGCACCCTGCATTTCATGCATCCAACAAACCCCGAGCTCCTGGGTTTACAGAGTGCCCTGCGTTACTGTTTCACGCCCAACCCGACAGCAGAGCAGTAAGGGAAAACCACGCTATGGTCTGAATGTCAAATCTCAGCATTTGACATTGAGGGAATGGCTCTTCCCTAGCCAAGGTCAGCCCCGCCTGGGGGCAGAGTAGGAACAGCCCGTGCAGTTGGACATCCAAGGAGCAGAGCCCATGCCCCACGCCCACCCCGGATGCCACCCACACACACACCTACACACACCTGCAGGCCGGCCTCCAAAACCTCTGCAGCAGGGACGCAGCAAAAGCCCCGACTCCCAAGGAAAGCTTGAGACCCACACTGCACCCCTTCCAGCTCCCCGCTCTCTGACTGAGAGGGGCCAGCACATCCCTGCCGTGCTGTGGTTGGGTCCTAGCCCTCAGCCCTCATGTCAGAGGAGACAAGGCGGGATGCCAAAACGCAGTGAGCTTTGAGCCTGCTTCTTCCCTGAGGGTAGTTCTGGGGGTGGACCGCAGGGCAGGGACTATGAGGCCACCTGGGGATGGGGTTACCCCCCTCCCAGGCCATTCACTGGGGTCTGTACCTGGAGCTGGAGTCACTGCCGCTCTGCACTGCTGGGTCGTCCGTGACATTAAAGAGCCCCGTCCAATTGGCCAGCGGGTCGCCACTCTGCCAGCCAAACTGGAGGCCTCTGGCAAGAAAACGAGGCAGTTGGTACTCAAGGCTCACACACTCGATGAAACCCATCTAACCACAGCACCTCTTGCTGTTGTTGTGCTGAGGGACACGTCGCCGTGATCACACCTTTACTGGAGATAAAGCGGATACCCACCCACGAGGGGGATGGTCATAAACCACAGCCCTGTATCGTGTTCTCTGCTCACATTCACCCGTGCCCTCCTTCCGCCTCTCCCAGCAGAGCTGAGGTTACACGCTGTAAACACAGGGAAACTGAGGCTTAGTGAGGTCAAGGTCCTATGTGGTGCATTCTTCATAGCTACCTCTCTGTGGTGTGTTCTTCAGCCCTCCCCCTACCGCGCTGGAGACTTAGACCCAAAGAGCTGTCACTCGCCAGCGCTTGGCTGTTCTCAGAGGCCACACTGCAAAGCTTTTAATGAAATCCGGCGCTCTGAGGCATAAGGATACACCTCCTGGTTCGAGAAGAGGGACTCAACACCCATGGTCATCTCTGCTCCGTCCCCAGCCCTGCCTGCAGTGATAGCAAAGGAATAAATAAGGATGCGAGCATGGAGAGGAGGTGACCGTTAGGGGGGCCAGCAACAAGTCCACGGAAGACGAAGAGCAGACAGGTAACTAAGTCCCCCACACCATGAGAGAGTGGAGCCCCGCTGTTTATGGGGCAATCTATTCCGTGTGCACAACTCAAGAAGGCTCTGAAATTGGGGACCCAGGGCCACCGAGGGCAGGAGTGCAGGGCTGAGCTGTGCCCGCCAGTCTCTACTGTCTGGATGCCAGGAGCACCTCCTTCCCCACTGTCCCACTAGGACGATCGCAAATGTCTGCAGAGGTCACCATGCATCCCCGGGGGGGCCAAATGCCCCCAGCCGAGAACCACTGTCCTAAGACAGTGCCCACCTCACAGAGCTCCGGTGAACCTTCTGGAGACTGGCTTGCCCTGAAGTATGAACAGGCAACGACAGGCCACCAACCAGCATGTGAGAAAACCTTAAACTTCAAAGTCAGAGAACAAAACAAATAGCCAAAAAAAGGGTAGGGGGGGGAGGAGGTAAACTCAGGGGAAAAGAGACAAATGAAGGAGAAAAAAATTTTTAATAAAACTCTTGATAATAAATAGCCTCTAAGCTGAGGGGAGGGGACGGCGATGGTTGTCGGAGCTGCTGTCCCCTCAACCCGGAGCTGCCACTGTTGAGCCGAGCAACCTGAGGCAAATCTGCATAACTCTCTGGCATCTTTCAAGGGAGGAGCGCTGTCTAGGATGTCCCCCAGGGTCCTTGACCAAAGTATCAGGGAGGTGAGCTGTCTCCCCGATGCCCACCCAGATCCCTCCATGGGCGTCTAGGTCGCCCCAGTGTTTAAGTGCGTCCATGAGTTCTAAGTGGGAACACTGTGCAGACCACATGCGCCATGTTGCACGCTGGATGCAGTCTGGGGACCCCTGCCCCACCCCCACCTCTGGGGGTCCCTGTCCATAGAGACAGTGTGCCTCATCTGTCGCAGCTCAGGAGACGTCCTGGATCCCATCCCCAGGAGTCTGCTACCCGCAGCACACCTGAGGGTCTTCTGTCCTGGGGGCTGGCTCAGGCAAAACGGACCAGCTCAGCACTGCGGGGGGCGCCCACCGAGGCAGCCCACGGGGGTGCGGTCCCTGGAGCCTGTGACCACCCCTTCCCCGCCCCCTCGCCCACTGGCAAAGCCAGCAATAGGACTGTAAATGCCCGACCTGCTATTATTGCCAGGACAACCTTGAGTTGACTCCATGGGGGAAAAAAATAATAAAAGAAGAAAGTCATTCAGAAAACACCAGTACTTAACTTTTGTGGGAGGATAATCTATTGAATTATTTATTCCCTCCCCCTTTCCGAGAAGGGAGCTGGGCTTTTTATCCTCTTACTTTAGGGCCCTGCGGGTTGTGGGGGCTGAAAGCTTCCTGGCTCCCTGAAGAAACTGTGCTAGGCGTCCAGGAGGGGAAGTCACGGCCTTCTGGTCTAGGAGGGGGGCAGAAGATGCCTCAAGTCCAGGAAGCCTGCCTCCTGCTTTGGGGCTCCCCCACATCTCCCTCTAAACAGACAGCAGGACCTTAGAAAGACCACAGCGTGGGGCACCCCTGGTGACTGGACCCATGGCTCTGGGAGCCTCCGGAGAGCAGTGAGCAGACTGACTAAGGCTGGTGTGGCCCTGGGAGCCCCCAACTGCACTGTTCTCCACAAACCTGGAGTGGTGGGGGGAAGGTGTGGATGGAAGGCCCTTTGGGAATGATAGACTCAGTTTCCCACCAGCTGGTGGATAAGGCTCAATTAAAAGAAGAGAAGGAAACAAACTCTTCCTTTCACACCAAGTTTGTGAAATCAAAGGTATGACTCCTTTTCCATCAATCATCAGCAAGTCGCTTGTGTCGTACGTCACAGCTGACTGAGGATATGTTTCCTTTATCTCCAAGCTATTTTTATTTTATTATATAGGCAGATATATTTCAAATATTTATTATGTTATTCTGTATTTATCAAAGAGCCCTGCCAGGCTGGGTGCCAGGGTTCAACAACAAACCAGCCGAAAAAGGCTCTGCCCCGATGACAATTGCTACCAGAGGGAGACAGATACAGTGACAATAAGCAAACAGGTGACACGATGTTTAGTGTGTCAGATGTGGACAGTGCTGTGGGAAAAATTAAGGGTGGCAAGGGGGATAAGGAGTTTGGGGTGGTGAAGGTACCATTCCACACTGGGTGGTCGGGGGGCCTCTCTGAGGAGGTAAAATGGAGAGGACGGGAAGTGGGTGATGAGGCAACAGGTGGCTCCTGAGGAAGAATATTCCAGAACCAACACCTGTGGTGGCCCTGAGGGGTGTGATGGCTTCTTCTGGGGTTGGCAAGAGGGTCTATGTAGTTGGGGCTGAGTGAATCAGGGCAGGTGACAGGGCCTGGGCTCAGAGAAGCAGTGCCACATTTCTGCGTTCCCTCAAAGTCATCTAAGAGGGAGGTGGGACCATGTCATCTTCTGAGGAGCCAAGAATTCCGCTGGGCCACCTGGGAGCCTGTGCTAGGCCCTCCCCCACCTTCCACCTCTCTGGGTCTCCAGAAGGAGCTGGTCAGAAGCTGCCAGGACCTTCCCACCCAGATCCAAGCGGAAGTGCCTGCCAGCTGGGAAGCCTTTTCAGTGGGATTAATGGGCATAATTATCAGGTTCCACATACTCCTTTGCCGGTCCCCATTCCTGACATACCAGTGACTCATGGTATTTCTCTGTGAAGGGCTGGATGGTAACATTCTCCCCAGAAGAACCTCGGGGGGAAAGGGAAGTAGATTCATCCCCAGGGTTCACCTGTGGAGACTTTCATTTGGGGCAACAGAAAAGCTGCTGCAGGTGGGGGTTTGCTGAGAGAGGAGAGGAGGGGGGCCTGTACTCCCCAGTGGCCCTGCCCAGAGGTGGCAGAGGGTTGGCCTCCTTGAGAGTCCCCAGGCCTGGAATGCATGGGCCCAGGGAGCAGATAGAGGCTCCTGGATTTGAAGACCATCCACTGCCCTGCAGAAGCCTCTGGCTAAGGAACGGCTGGGCCGGGGCCCAGTGGTCTCGGTACTGGCAGTGCTAGGGCAGGAATGGGGGTGGAGGGTGGTACACACGGGGACACCCAGCCATGGGAGGGGTCCAGAGAGAGAGAAACTGGACAAGCTCCAGGCATAATTCTGAGACCACCTTGCCACCCCCCATTTAGGCACCGCAGAGGAGTCTGGGCCCCCCAGGCCCACGTCCAAACATTGTGCTCCCTGGGCTGGTGCTCCAGACCACCCCTTCCAAGAGAGGCTGCTGCAGGAGGAGCACAGGGTGAGGGAGGGGTTGAGGATACACCCACAACCTTCCAGCTGTCCTCTGGCACTAAGGCCCCCAGTGGCGGACCACAGTGAACAGAGTGGGGCCCCCCTGCCTCCTTGGAGGGCAGTGGAATGATGAGGACACATGGGGGTCCCCTCAAACACTCATGCATTCATTCACTCCAACTACTCTCTTATGAGCTCCCACTAATTCAATCTTCTCCATCTTATGACACGTCCCAGATTCTCAGAGGTTAGCAGCCCACACTCTCCCTCAACCCTGGGGAGCCCCCTCCAGCTGAACTTCTCCAGTCATTTCGTGCACCAGCCTTTGCTCCTGCTCATTCCTGTGGCTCTTATGGGTTGAACTGTGCTCCTCCAAAATTCCTATGTTGAAGTCCTCCCCCACCCCAGTCCTTGTGAGATAGGGTCACTGCAGAGGAAATTCATTAAATTAGGATGAGGTCATGCTGAAGTGGGGTGGGCCCCTAATCCAATATGACTGACTGGTGTCTTTATAAAAAAGGGAAATCGGACACAGGAAGAACGCCATGTGAAGATGAAGCCAAGGAACACCAAAGATCACAGGCAAACTAGTAGAAGCCACGGGAGAGGCATGGAACAGACTCCCCCTCATAGCCCTCCGAAGGAACCGACCCTGCTGACACCTTCGCCCCAGGCATCTGGCCTCCAGAACTATGTGACAGCAACTCTCAATTGAAGCCACCCAGTTTGTGGTACCGTTACAGCAGCCCTGACCATACACTTGGGGTCCCTCTCTAATCCTCCAAGGTGAGACCTTACTCTTTCTTCAAGATTCCATTCAGATGCTCAGCCCTGGCCCGTGGTTTCCAGCTTGGCTCTGTGGGACACTGGGAGACCCTTTGTGACTGTGTAGAGGAGGGAAGGGACATGGCAGAGGGCGGGGTTGAGGAAGAGGCACCCGGTTGGGAAGGACTGAAGCCCCCACTCTGTGCCAAACGAGTACCCTCCTTTCTCCATGTAAGAGGCTTCCACGTCATCTGAGGCCCTGGGGGTCTCTCTGTGCCCGAACCCCAGCCCACCTGGCACTTAGTATACAGCAGAGTTTCATACATCTTGGCAACCAGAGACTAGAGCAGTACTATCCAATAGAAATACACCAGGAGCCACAGATGTCATCTAGAATGTTCTGATAGCCACA